ATATATATATATATATATATATACACGTGTTTTAACGTCAGCACAAACGTATTATAGTTTTCTTTGACTAATTAAAGTGGTTTAGATATTGCAATGTTGCTTTTTCTCTTACTTTTTTACTTTTACTTTTTTAAGTATCATTTTAAGTAAAATATATACTTAAAGAAATATCTTAATAGTATTTAAAACGTTATTGCTTATTACAACTGCAACTTAAACTTTAAGTTATAACTTAAGTTGTAAATAATAACAGTAACTTACGCTTTTTTCAACTCTGCCGAACAAAAAAAATTATAAGATTATATTTAAATATGAGAGATAATATATTAAAAGTAGAACAATTATGTACCAAAGTTACAATTATATGCTAACGAAACTTTCCTCTCTCTCCCCCCCCCCCCCCCTCCATCATTACCGCAAAGAAGCGCAAGGTTTAGGGGGGGTGCATTTTATATATATATATATATATATATATATATATATATATATATATATATATATATATATATATATATAATATACATACAAATAGTTTTAAATGCATTCTACAAAATAGAGTGCTCAATGTTCATAAAAGAACAGAGCAATAATAAATTAGTAGGAAATCACTAAAATAATAAATCATAGATAATCTTTTTTCATTTTACACTGTGTTTCATCAATTATTTAAAAATAATTTGCGACAATATTATTAATTTTTATGAGCAAGCCTCTAAAACTTTGGAAAATGCAGTTAATTTAGAAGCCTAAAGTATCGCTAAAAAAAATAAACCTTGAAAACAGAATTGAATCAACTGCCCTGCCCAAGCTTTTGTTAAGCTTAAAGATCATAAACCAAATTTTCAAAACAAACTCCCTTGTAGGTTATTGGTTCTTTTAAAAAGTGAGACATGTACGACATGTAAGCAAAATTAAATTGAACAAAGTTAATAATGTTCTTAGAAATAAATTAAATTTACAACAGTGGAGATATACCACTGATGTTATAAATTGGTTCTCTATAATCGAAGATAAAAATGACTGTACATTAATTCAATATGACATTAATGATATTTACCTCTCAATAACCGCAGATATTTAAAAAAAAAACTTAGTTAGCAAAAATCTACTCAGCTATTCCATAAGAGACAATTTTTATAATAAAACAGAAAAACTTTAGTTTATTATAATAAGGAAACTTGGAAAAAGAAAAAACAAACATGACTTCTTTGATGTACCAAGGGAATAGCCAACCTAAATAACCTTTCATATTTTAATAGACTTAGAATTTTTGGATTAGAACTACTAGAAATTCATTGCTTTAAGCAAGACATGATTACATGTTACAAAATTTTAAACAATTTAGTTTGCCTAAATATATCAAGTTTCTTTTTAATAAATAACTATATTTACACTCGAGGTCACAAATTTAAATTACTCAAACTAAAGTGTAAACTTGATGTCTGTAAATACAATTTCTCACTCAGGGTTGTTAACATTTGGAGTAACTTGTTGCATGCTGTCCTAATGCCAAAAATATCAAGAACTTCAAAATTAAAATTAACTCTATCAACTTCGAAAAATACTAATTTTTTGCTAACTATTTTTGTTTTATAACTGTGGTATTATATATAATAGTTTTATATATATATATATATATATATATATATATATATATATATATATATATATATATATATATATATATATATATATATATATATACATATATATATATATATATACATATATATATATATATATATATA